AATTTTATTGAAAGAATTCTTGTCTGTCACTGAAATTTCAAAAAAAAATTTTTTTTCATCAGAAAATGACATGACAAATTTATCGAAATTTGATTCTAAGTTACTGGTTTCTGTTAGTGAGGAAAATTATCCATCCTAAGGTCCAGTCTCAAGCAGGCCCTGAAACAGTATGTACTGGCGAACTGCTGCAAACATGGAGGGAGATGGCAAGGTGAAAAATGGAAGATTCTTTTTATTCTGCAAGCAAAAAAAACTACTTTTGATTTTGTTCTTCAGTGGTCAGTGAATGATAATGGTCAGTGAATGACAGTGGTCAGCGGATGGCAGCTGCAAAAAATGAATGACCACTTGAGTGGCTTCCGAGGAGAAGTCGCACACATACATCGAACAGGTGTTACTTCTACTAACTGGAGATAGGCAGTTCTAGATCGAACGGCCTTGTACAACTGCGCCAGGTGTGCAGAAGCATTCCGGTAACATCATTAACATGAGATTTTTAGAAAGCTCCTGGTATTTTTGGTATATAAAACTGCAAAAATGCAGAACAAAATTTCGCAAAAAAATATAAAAAGTGATGACAAAGAAATGGAAATGATGAAGGCGGAGGTCGTGTTATCAGCCGCTCCAACAAAGAACACGGAACAGCTACCTCGAGGAAACCGCTCTGGTGATTTAGAGCTGATAAGACAATATGATTAACCAGTGCCAGGGCCACGACCACTTGCACTGCCTACATGTTCGAACGATGAGCGGAGGATTTTTCTTTCAAGTATAACGAATTTTTGAAAAGCAATTCGACCCACTTTAAGTAATTTAATGGATCAAATCACAAACATGTGTTCGGTAAGCCAGACACACCTACGCGCGACGTAATAGCATTCTAGTAACATTATTAACATGGGATGCCCACACTAATGGCCCGAGAAATTTTGATATTCTTGGTGTTGCATTACCCAGCTTGAGCCCATTATTGGTTGTATTAAGACTGCTAAGGCTGGCATTTAAAAGCGATTATATGTCGTACCAGTTTTAGCAGCCTAAATTACTCACCTTCTCTTAGTATATCAAAAAATCAAACTTAAAACTACCTCTTCGTATTCGCTCTTTATAGCAGGCGCGGGTACTCGCAAAGTAGCCAGAGTGGTAGCAAATGTCAACACAACCATTCTCTGTCAAGGCGGCCAACGGCTCTTTCTTTTGAGAGTTGCTTACAAGTAAGCTGGTGGGGGATCTAATTCCCTGGCATATACTGCCAGTCAAAACAGCTACGAGGAAAAAATTTAAGGATGATCCTCGGTCTTCTGTAGATTCCTATCACTAAAAAACATTGGTATCGTGAAAGCTGGCAAAGTACTAAAAGAGTGCTAAGAAATAAGTTGGCATTTAAGAAAAGTTGACCTCTTTGATAAAGAATTGAGCATAACTAGAAATACCTAACAAAGGTATCTGGAAATTGCAAATTATCAGCAGCGATTAGAAATATTCTGAAGC